AAAATGGGCTCCTCGTCTATAGCACTAAGACCTAGGCAATGCTTTTTCAAAGGCGATATTGTCGCACAGACGCTTGATGAGTCGACTTCACGAAGAGTAGAGGAGCACATTGAAAGCAGAGAGACAAGCATTAATTCCCACTGCAGAGAGTACAATAAGCATCGAAGGACAACTTCAGAAGTTAGAAACCCCTTCCACGACCTTAGAAGGCTCGTGAACCAGCTGGGCCAGCTGAGTGAATGACAAGATAGCATCAGCTACTTAGGTGTATCTGGTGGGAAAGACCTGTATGAAGGAAAATCAAAAGCATTTGAAAATCTGAAAGACGACCCATGCACCTGATCATGACGATGAGCCCCCATCGAAGACGACCGGTCGCCATCGACCAGCAATGTGTACAATGGCCTGCAGATAGCGAAACAAGACCAGCTAGTCACTCTAAATGAAACGAAAGGACGACCACGAGGATGCTGAAGGAAGCCCGGTGTACTTATCGTAGCCTAGGCCCTTCGAAACATTTGCATACATCAGGGTTGAAGGAAATGCATATAATGCATCTCAATTCATGTAAGATGCAAAATACCAAGAGAGCGTCGAAGTCAAAATCGGGAAAGCCCAGATTAAGGCAAAGGAAGAAAAAGAACGGCGATTTGGGCTAGTTGGTTTATTTGCTTTGCAATAATGGTTGCAGCGCAAGCTCAAAAGTGCTGGAAAAAATGCGGACAGAATGCGAGGAACGGAAGCAAACACGACAACAACACAGCGCTCGTGTTGTCCTCTTTGCTTACCATTTCTCACATTCTGTTTGCCTTTCTTCCAGCACTTTCGTGATTGCGCTGCAACCCTTATCGCAAAGGAAGGAAGCCGATGACTCCGAGGTGACCACAGACATGACCAAGAACTCGAGAAAACTTCTCAAAAATAGATCCTGTAGACCTTCATGGTAAAGTCAGCATCATCGGTTTTCACAAGAACGATAGCTGTTCATCGACCGCACAAGTCTATCAAAAGGAACACGTTTAAAGGCACGAGAGAGAAACAAACGTCGGAAGCACCACTAGAAGACCACTCACCTTTGAAGGGTGCGATTGACCCACATGACTTGACTGGAATGTGATGCAAGAACCCATAAACAAGTGTGTATTTAGAAAGTGTGTGTATTAGTGTTCTCCGTTGTCACTCGTCTGTTGGGGTACGAAAGATGTTGAATATTGTGCTCTTAGAAGACGACGAGTGACACTATCATGATCAGTTCAAGATCAGATCAGGACATGAAAAAAAGAAGAAGCCAACGGTGACTCGTCCCCTCCCCCCCTCCTTCCCCGAGTGATGCTTGCTAGTTTTTTAAGGCTTCAAAATCTTTTGGAATGCTGTTTTAGCTTGACCCGATTCCTTGGACGGTCGCTAGCACAGTCGCCAGAACCTTGTCAGGTCCATGACTCAGTGCCCCTGGAGATCGGAGAAAACGTATTAAAAACTAGCGCAGTGACGCCCTGCCTACAGTTAGTTCATCAATACGAATAGCCATTTACGGGGAGACAACGCCACAAATCAGGAAGCGATCATCACTCGTGACATAGCAGTGAGAGTTGTCTGAATACCCATCTGGAACAACCACAAGGGTGAGTGTTTCAGTGCAGAATCGGTGCGTTGCCTTACCCAGACTGCCCTGTTTCTTACCTAGAGTGAATCGGTTGATATGAAACTCAGCGCGTCACAGAACAAAAAAAAAACTGAGCGCAAATACAACCTCACGAAAACCTTCTCTCTGTTCTCTTAGCTATTGTGCAGCCCTTTGGTCTGTCAATGTTATATTCATACGCCCGCTGCGCGGTCCCCATTTTTCGCTTTAGTTGTTTTGCTGTGTTAGTCTCCGTGTTTCAGCCTCATACGCTAGTATCCACTGCTCGTATGCTTTTCGATTTTATAATAAAGGCACATTTTCTGACATTATTTGAGAGTGCCTGCCGAATGCCCTCCAGTTATTTCTTGTTCGTCGGTGAATTTCTTTTTTGTGATTAGGTTCTCCCGTGAGTAGTTGTGCTATATACTCATATTCTTCTATACACCCCGATGCATGTTTTTCCATCCTAAGTTAACCAGGCCACTTAACATTATCTCCATTTTCACCATGAGCCCTACCTTAATACTTTCTTGGTTTTAATCCTCAATCATGTTCTTGCAATACGTTGCCGAAAAGCACGATGGCGTCCGCAAATCGCAGGTTGCACGCCACTCTCTGTCATCCTCGATGCCCGTTTCCTCTCAGTCTTCGCCGCCACAAGCATGCCTTGCAACCCTTTCTGCCATTCGACGCGACCACTCCACGCCTTCTTTTTCACTCAACCGATTCGGCACACATCCTCTCCTCCACTTTCGTAGTTGCCCTTCCTCTTGCTTCGTTCACACGCTGGCAAGCAGCCTCGAACAAGCCCGATTGTCGAAACGTCGTCTCCGGCGACACGCTGTGCTTGTCATGGGTAGCAGAAATTGTTGTGGCAAACATTTGAAACCTCAACTTCTTAGTAAGTGAAGTTTTTTGTGAGCTACATATTTCGTAGTGGCAGCATCGTTCTCGGAAAGCCTTCTTCCAGCGCCTTTACACGAAAGTGGCGCTCGGGGTGCGCTGGTCACATGGACGACGTTATGCCTCTTTTTCCAATAACTGCTGCTCTGTCGATTGCACGCTTGTCGCTGGTAAGCAGTTTCAAATAAGGTCACCGGCCATATCACGTTGGTGTGTTTCACTGTTGCCGTTCGCAGTTGCACTTCATTGCTTCACACGTGACCCTCGTTGGCGCCGGCAGAAAGAGAAACGTTGCGCTGCTTCGCATGCGGGTGAAGGTCGGCTCGGGGAGAGGAGAAAGTTGGCTCTGAGCATTGCGCAACAAAACCGAGAGGAAACGCCCAGCTTCGCTTGTCCCCATTCTCGTGATAGGGCCGCCTTTCGCGATTAATGCACTCGGCGAAAATGTCTCAGTACAGGGTAAAGAAGTGCTACTGTTTCTATCCTTCAAAATCCACCTTTTGTAGTTGTCCGAGTATTTCGAAAGCTAAGAGTTTTAATCAAGTTTCTATTCTTCTCTGGAATGCTGTTTTCCACGGGCAGTGGCGTGGCGCATTTCATTTATTAAAACTTAGAGTGTTTGCGCCTAGAATGGCCCTCTCAGCAGGTGATTCCACCGAAATGAGGGTTAAGGTTTAAATTTCTCAAAGTTCATTTTTTTCGAGTGTGGACAAATCTCCATGTCCGCTTCGAGTGTTGTCCTGGAGAGGGCTTTTATTCCACCGCCGCAAAACTTAGCGAAGCCGGCACTCAAAGTGTTCTATTTTGAAGCTTGTTTTGCACCGCAGACGAAACGCAGTAGTAAGGTAAGATATATTCACAGACACGCGCTTGCAGTTCAGTAGATAAGGCTTCAGAGTTGGGGTGGGATGAAGACAAGAAACATACAGGGAAAAGAGTTTGCCACAGAAGTTTATGGCCCCCCATGCAGGTGGTTTTTTTTTTTCCTCTTTTTTTCAGTGGTGTAAAGGGTTGAGAGGACCCCCTTTACGCGTGGTTATCGTCAGCCTTCCACCGAAGGGGAATGCTCGGCCACCTCACTCGTGACCACCTATATACTATGGTTGTGTATGAGAATAAAACGAGCCTATCGATGAGATGTTTCTGTTACACTACGTGCAACAATGCGCGTGTAACATTGCGCAATGATAGAGAGGAAAAAAAGAGCGCAGCCGGGTCCCCCTTCTATTTAAACATGGGCTGCTAGTAATTGTTACTATCCGACATAAAAAAATTACCAATGGTAGTGTATCATGAGGTTAAGTCTAACCAAACTCGATTTTGAAGGAAGTTTCTCGAGCTGGACTACGACACACGTCGTCAGAGAAGCTTACTGCGCTAGATTAATATCTCAGGAAATTATGTTCCGTCTTCCACCCATTCATCAAATTCAAGAAAGATACACTTCGTGCTAACGACAGCACACAAAAAGTAACTTGTCAAAGTTTTTATGAAGCAACCATCGTGATGGCATTAATTGAAGAAATATTGTCCATTCATGTACATTCTAAAGCTTATTTCCAAAGATCCAGGCAGATTTTCATACTTCTTTTTGTTTCTCTTTCTATAGTCGGCCGGTTCTTTCTATCTTTTCGGAGCTAGCCATGTGTGTAATTCGTTTTCCTTAATATTTAGGTTCGGACGTGTTAACTCATAAATGAATACTTATTTTGGGTCTAATGGCCTGATTTCTTTATATATGGCGTTGTTGGAATCTACCGTTTGTTATTATTTGTTTTGCCATGTATGACGGTTTAGTCATGTTTGTACGCGGGTGATCGGGTGGTTTGTCAGGCTTTACTCTCTTTCACGGTGATCTTCTGTATCTCTGAAATAACTATGAAATCAAGTAAAATGAAAGACCAGTGCAATTATTTTTAGTTCCTAATCACTTTAATGCACACAGTTGGTATTCTTATTCTGAAATATGACGTATAACTCGCCAAATTCGATTAGTTCTGCAGATAGCTTTCGGGGACAGAGGGACGCAGAAAGTTTATGCCCGCGAGATCATCGCCGTACGCATGAGGGGGAGCCGGGGGGGGGGGGGGTGCCAAGTTTGCTCTATACATTGACCTAATATGGAGGGGAATGTTGCGACGAACATTTGTGGGAAATGCAGTAGGGCTGCGGCCTCCGGCGGTATACTTTCGCCACATCTGCGTCATCAGCCCGTAACGATCGCAGGTGGTAACGCGCGCCGGTGAGCAACTGTTTTCAAATAGGCTACTCAGCATGCACACGTCATAGCAGAAACGGCATCTTCGAGTGGCGCTCAACTACGCCGACGCGCCAGCCCTCCTTCGGGGAGGTGATCAACCTGCTTACAAACGTACGGCGTTTGAACAGGAATGTCAGCCGCGGCGCGACTACCGTGGCGCCTGCGCAGAGGCGGCGACACCTGCCGCCAGCGGGGCAAGACCAAGGAAGGACGGAGCTGCCGGCCAGACCTGTTTCGGCGCTTGGCTGCGTGAGTGTTGTCCGCCCGTGCGTCCGCCTTGAGCACGGGGGTTCCCCTCGACAACGATGGGAGGACGACGAAGCCTTGTTGCGTTTTGGATACTTACGGCGCTGCTTTCCCGAGTGCGCGGCCAGGAGAAAGATGGTGAGTGAGCACAGTCGCGCGCCCTGTCAGCGCGCCATGACAAGCATTACGTGGGGCCAGTGCCAAGATGGTGACGACCTGCTGATGATCGCCCAGCGCACCATTCGTCGGCACGTGGGTCGGCACGCGCGCGCAAGACGTCCTCGCATCGTTAGCGCGAACTCCGTCTGATAGCGCGCTTTGCATACACCTAGGAGCACGGGAGCGCGAGCTGAAATCGGGGCCGTCAGTGTCGAACCGTTAGGCTGCCTCCGACAGCACTGCTTTCATGTCGAGAGCGTTGCTCTGACGGAACTTGTCAGGGCAATTGCCTTGGCCGCAAGTGGCTCACCACTAGACGGCGCAGACAGCAAAAACATGTTGGTGTAGCGGTTACGGCGCTCGGCTGTTCACTCCAAGGTCGCGGATTCGATCCCGGCTATTTTGTTGATGTCAAAATGGCAGACGCCCTTACACTGTGCACGTGAAAAAACACCAGGTGGTCCGTCATTATCATATCGTCGTTTTATGACGTTAAACCCCAGATGCTAGCTGTATTAAGATTAACATCATGCTCAGCGTACTTTTGCCTATGTATACTGCGGCGACTACAAGTTGACGTAATGTATAACAGAACGGATAAATGCACAAACTTAAGTTTACCACGAAGACGTCATTGCAGGCCGTTGTTGAACGTAATTTACCCTATGGACAGCGTTTAACCAAAAACTGCGTATTGTGGCGCCAGGGATTATAGTAAGTCACTGTAAATAACAGAATGATGCTCAAATGTTTTAATACCTAAATAACTTCCTTGCTTACTATCTGCGGGATGATGTACGCCTAGAGTTCGTTCAATCAGACGTATTATACGGCTCCTAACCATGCTGTTCTCGTACCATTTCCGTCAAAATGCAGGTGGAGGTTTGTTTAAACACATTCCATAATACGGCATGCCATATGCTTCTACCTCCCCGAGCGGTCACTTGTGGTACCATGATAGTTAGCGAAGAAGCATTGCGTGGATGGATCAATGGCTGTGCGCCGATACTACTGGTGCGCCGAAGTAGACGCCTGCCGATGAATCGTCGGCAGAGGGCTTTTTCGTGCGTAGCGTCGCATTTTCATCGCAGCCTAAGAAACACTAGCGTCTTTAGAATCACGTATCTCTGTGTTTTCTAGTAAAAGAACACATCGCATATTACTCACCCATTGATGCGGCGCCTCGGGTATGCGTATATATGCTTCTTTATTGACAAATTCAGAAGTAAGAATACAGCCACCAGTTCAATATGGCTGGGCGTTTAGCTGTAAACTCTGGCCCTGTGGCTGAATCGTGTGACAGACAGACCGAAATTTATTTGTCAAGAAAGACTACCGCCTTTAAAACTGTGCAGTCTATCTGTTCCTTGTGCCTTTCTTACAACCTTACTGCAGTACACCACGTGTTTTAACAACGCCGTTTTACGGCTGCCGCACGTGTGTACGTATGAGGCGTCTCCTCTGAGTGAGCACGCCATGCTGCCACGTAATGTAACCGATAAAAAGCACTCAACCAGCACAAGAAGCGTATTAACACCAGCATTATGTACAACGCTATTACACAATGTTACTGGCGATGTGTTTTCAATTCGATATCATCGCGTTAACAGGACAGCATTTCGGTGACACTATCTAGAAAAAATAAAAAATAGGCATCAAGAAAGCGTTTAGTATACGCTGAGAAACGGGATGAAACAAAGTTACGGTACTCACGGACTGAACTGCGGCCCTTGCCCTGTATGTATACAAAATCACTCCCGATAACAGTATCGTGTCTCTACGAATGTGGCCGCTACTACTGGGCCGGAAGAAACGTAAGGGCATTGCTTAGCCCGAAATTGTCTCATTTCATTTCCATGAAAGTTCAGGCGGGTGTAATACGACTCTTCAACGGTAACACAAGCCGAGTTCCATAATATTGTCCTTGTAAATAGCAATTAAGCTATCCAACTTGTTTTGGTACACGTATGTGTTCTGGCTCAGTCTTTTCACTTGATTCTCGTACCTGCGGCACATTTGCAACTGGTCCACATCATATCGCAGAAAGAAAAAAGATTACAGCGTTGTGATTTACTTCTAACAGGGTGAGTGGGAAGTTCTAAAAAATCGCCGCATATTCGCGGAGTGAATGATGATTGGCGGGGCGAAGCGTTCGTCAGTCCATGCGTGCTTCCGTCCGTCCCTCTGTTTGTCCGTCTGTCCGCCCCACTGTCCGTCTGTCTGTCCATCCATCCGTCCGTCTATCAGTCTATCAAGTAAACACTCCAAGTACCGCTATCGCATCTTTTCCTCATGTATCCATCATATACAAGTACCGCCATCTAGCCGACATTCTAAGGACTGCTCTCTCGGATATGTTCGTCCGTCTGTCTAGTGAACACTCCAAGCTACCGCTATCTCACATCTGTATACAAGTACCGCCATGCAGCGGACATTCTAAGGACCGCTCTCTCGGATATGTGCCACCGGTGGTTACATACAACGGGACGCACAAGCCACGCCATATGAAGCTTCGCCCCTGAAACGCTGTCCAACACTAGGACCGGCTCTAATTTTTCGCGGTGAAATGCATATCAATGAACAGCCATAATAATGTAATTCAGATGGCATAGCGCGCATGGAAAGCACTGATTCTCATTACCCCCCTTAGCTGACTGAGGAAGCAATGTTGAAGGAAACAGATGCATTTTTTAGCAATATACGACGCGGGGCTGTCGTAACTAGTGTAAATTCATTACGCACGCAGTAAAACTTGCTTGAAGGAGCGGAAAATGAAGCGCATACAAGGCGATTAACTGTCTCGATGCTGGTGTGTCTGTAGATTCGCGAACCACATTCATATCGTGAGAGGGCGCCTGACACAGTCACAAGGTAGGGGAGAAAATTTTTGGACGTGATTTTACCGGAACTTTTTTCGTAATAAGGTGATCGCGTTGATTTGTTGGGCTGAAAAGTTAGATATGTAATGAAGAATTTTGCAAGCAACTAATTCTCGAAAAGTTCACCACCATGAAAAAATTGGCAGATCCCACGTGCTATGGGAATCGATGATATGCGAAATACAAATGACGAAGGTTGATATGTCACTTTAAAATCAGCGCAACGTTACGAGGCAGGCGTAAATTATACCAAACATGTCTTTTATGTCATGATTATCATGTTCGGACGTTTCATTTACTTTCGTCGTCTGTTGACGTCACGTGGTAGATGCCAAATTTGTAATACGTGGAGCAAGCAAAACGGTCGCGAGCGCGCTATGAGCGTAACATGTAGTCATGTTTTACATGACACGCATGTCATTATTATCGTGTTTAAACGTTTCATTTGCCTTCGTCGTCCATTCACAGCACTTAATACCAAATTTGTAATATGTGGCGCGAGCGAAACGGCTGTGAGCACGCTATGAGCGTAGCACGTAGTCATGTTTTGCGTTACACGCATATCATGATTATCCTGTTTGGACGTGTCTTTTACCTTCGTCGTCAATTCAAGTTAAGTAATACCGAATTTGGTATATGTGAAGCTAGCGAAACGGCTGTGAGTGCAGCATGAGCGTGGCGTGCACTGAAAGTGGAAATCATGACATGCATGTCATGATTTCCACTTTCGGGTCTGTCACTGATGTTCGCCATGCACTCATGTAATACCGTACCAGTTTGGCGATATTTCTTGTGAAATAAACCACCGCAAGAACACCAAGGCCATGAAATGTAAATCATGACATGCACGTCATGATTTTCATGTTATGACCGGTCAATTATGCTCGTGATACAGCAATGTTAAGCCATACCAATTTCGGTATTGATACAAATGATGAAGGTTGCTGAAAGAGAGCTGAAAGTCGTAGGTGGCTAGACGGACAGATGGGTGGACGAACGGGTGGACGAACGGGTGGACGAACGGGTGGACGAACGGGTGGACGAACGGGTGGACGAACGGGCGGACGAACGGGCGGACGAACGGGCGGACGAACGGGCGGACGAACGGACGGACGAACGGATGGATGGACGGATGGATGGGTGGGTGGGTGGGTAGATGCGCTTGAAGTCACCGAAGTTCACTAAGAAATATGAAATGAGAAAACTCCTCTCGACGTATGATCTTTAAACAGAGAAAGGCGTTAACAGGCAATTACAACAAACTTGGTAAATTAGAGCAAACTGACATGACAGGTGGATCAAAGGTAACCAGATGGTCAAAAAAAAATCCTGAGTTCCTCATTACCTCGTGTCTCATAATATCGACGTATCATCTTTAAACAGAGAAATGACGCATCAGATATCTACAGATAAAAAAACATCTATCATAAATCATGCAACCGTGTATGTGAGCGTCATTCTCATTTTATAGAAACGGAGAAATGCAAGTTAATAGATCATAAGCAATCCACGCGTTGTAACAAGCAATTACAACAAACTTGGTAAATTAGAGCAAACTGATATGACAGGTGGATCAAACGTAACGAGATGGTCAAAGTAAATTCTGAGTCCCTCATTACCTCGTGTCTCATGATATTATTGTGATTTTGGAACGTAAAACCCCAGAAACTATTATTACCTTCTAACCGCCAATATATGAACGCAGCAAAATAATGAATTGCACGTAGACTATGTTCCGTGCCCCGCATCGGTGGTCTAGTGACTAAGGTACTCGGCTGTTGACCCGCAGGTCCCGGTTGTGGTGGCTGCATTTCCGACGGAGGCGGAAATGTTGTAGGTCGGTGTGCTCACATTTGGGTGCACGTTAAAGAACCCCAGGTGATCGAAATTACCGAAGCCCTCCACTACGGCTACTCTCATAATTATATGGTGATTTGGGGACGTTAAACTCCACATATCAATCAATTAGTGAGTTCCGTACCCTGTTTTGTCCGCTGTAGATAATTTTTCTTGTGGCACTTTCATAATAACTACGTATGAGATGTCATTTTTTACAAGTACGGTTGGTTGAAAGTCTTGTGCTGCGTCCCAAAACACGCG